TAGCTGTTGGCATTCTCTTTCTACCGAATAGCTCGCCCTCTTGTCATATTTTGTACTGTGTTTTTCAAAGTGAAAATGGTGAATGTGTTATTTATACACGACTCGCTATCTTATACATGACTCGCTATCTTATAATTGATAAAGTTAGAGTAGGCCTATGTTTAGTGACTGATTCCTATTCCTTATAACGAATGACGTGACTTTCAGAAACTCCTTGAAGTGATTAAGTTATGATGCGCTAACGAGACTTCAGGTAAATCCATACAGAGATTTAAGCAGTTGAAATTAGCTGTAAATTGACGATGAAGATTAGTCAGTCTAGCTGGCTTGGATCCATCACTCCTAATTGCATTTATCACCGCGGTGCGGATCTCCTGCATGTTTGTGTAAACCGTTGGCGTACATTTAACATTCTTTTAGTTTTCAATGTAATCGTGTAAATATATATAATGAGATAGTGGTCTTCAATAATTAATGATAACAAAGTTCCGTAACCTTACGAAAACGATATTCATAACATATTATTTAGTAGCAATGATTTTGTTTCCTAATCTCTCACATTGTTTTTAATAGGTCGTGATCGATAGGACGAAAAATTTGCGTACCTTAATTTATTATACTTTGCTTAATCCAGAGTAGGTTCAAAATGGCAATATATTAATAAATGTCTGATATGTTTGTGGTAATACGTGCATCGCACTTTGTAAATATACGGTATGAACTTTGCACACAAACAGTGATGACGTCATTTATGGGCGTCCCATTTTCATAGAAAACTAAATTGTAATGTTTATCGCTCTTGCTTGCCGTTAGTAACAATCAAGTGCATAGATTAGTCTGTACTTGGATCGGTGATTTGTGATTTCCTTAGGGACTTAGTAGAAGCGCTGGATATAATTTGCGTAAACTTCACTTTCGAACTTTGCCATATTAAACTCTTTGCGTTCTCCATAATATTGTATAGAGGTGCATAGTGGTTGTATTGCCATAGGCTACCGTAATTAGGCTACTTGTTATAATCGTACATAGATTGGTTCTTCTGTATTTTCTACATCAGTAATGAATTATTATTATACGTGTTTAAGCAATGAGAGTTCACGTCTAAATATTCACGTACACTTTATTTCTACAATACAGCTAGTAAGGTGGAAATAGGCCATCACAATAATATTAAGCTTGGCTGTAAAACATGGTGCTCTGCTGCAAATTATAATGTAATTAATTCAGTTATGGACGTAATAAACGTACAATATCAATATGTAGTTTACCCTAGGCCAAATTTCTATTTTATACTTTAGGGAACATGTAAATGAATAGGATTATACAATAGCATATAAATAACAATGAAGATTAATATAACATGAATAATGAAACGTACTGTGACCCAACTTATTAATAATCTTTATTGTGTGGTGAGAGATTAAAACAGAATAAATAAATATTATTAAACGAATTAGTATGTATGTGTTACGTGCAAGACCGTGCGCAATGTTATGCTTATGGTTTTGATTAAATTTTGATTGTTGGATGACTATACTCTTCTTATCTGTTTGATTTTCTTATTAAGCTGCATTCACATCAGATCCGACCCAAAATCAAAGATATTATAAATAGCAGAAGATGGAACAGCTTCAGTGGAACATCCGTTCGAAATGCATTGTGGGTACACAGAGAGCAATTTTACCCCGTCCGCGCGCCGGCGCTATTTATTAATAATAAAGGTGCCGCTCGAGCTCGTTTGTTTCCTGTAGTTTCTCCACTTTAGTCAGATGGTCAAATTTTACCCCGCTCGCGATGGGGCGGATGTTCCATCGGTTTTAATGCAAATACGCGGAACAGCTCATTCTTCTGCTATAAGTTAGGCTATGTTCAGACACAACGACTTACGTTAGCGTATCGTTAATCGAGTGGTGTGAACTTGGGCGCGGCGTAGCGAACGCCAGTATTATCTCACAATCACTCGCTTACGGTACGGTAATCCAGCAACAGACCCCAGATTAGCGCACGCCACTGAGTTACGACAGTCACGCATCAGTGATTTTGAACTCTGCCAGGAATTGACCAATCACAATAAGGCAAGATGTAAACAGGAAATAAAACGCGCGATTACAAATACGAAAATTTCGCGCGAATACTTACGCTAGCGTTCGTTAATCGCCTAGTCTGGATATCTCGCTAGTTACGCCATGGATTAACGTACGCCCGGCGTTAGATACGCCTGGCGTATCTCTCAGGCCTGAACGTAGCCTTAATACTTTGCCGAAATTCGGACCGCGTTTCCGAAGCGCTGAACACCAGCGTACAGCGTCTGTATTCTTTCACACTGATTCAATTTTCTGATCCCTTCGGTAGGCTCCGAAAATTCGAATTCTGAGTGAATGCACCTTTACCAAAGATAATAAATAGCAGAAGATCATGCAGCTTCCTAATATAGTGGAACATCCGTTCCAAATGCATTGTGGGTACACGGAGGGCAATTTTACCCCGTCCGCGCGGCGGCGCTATATAGAAATATTAACAGCAATAAAGGCGCCGCTCTGGTTCGTTTGTTTTCTGCAGTTTCTCCACTAAGTAAAATGTTCAAATTTTACCTCATTCGCGGGAGGGCGGATGTTCCATCAATTTTAATACAAATACGCGGAGCAGCTCATTCTTCTGCTATGTTCTTTGCCTTTGCATTTCCATGATAGCTTAGAAATAACAAAGTAATGTGATTTACGTATTTGTACGTTGAATAATTAATTTATATTTATTTGATATACATTTATTCTACCAAAGTATGATACAATCTAATATCACATTCTGCAGTGTTGTATCGATTTTATGTTTAACTCAAATGTTTCTTTGGCTATTATGACTTGGATTTTAGTATTTTTTCGCTTTTAATGAATCTCTCGCTTCTTCACGCTCGCTTCGTAATTCTGCCTCAAGCTCGTTGACAAACATTGCAAAACTGAAACTTACAGAAGATTCTATTTTTGTCATTCATGTAGAACTGTGTAAATTTTTTCTTTTTCGACTTTTTTATTTTTATATTTACCGTTGGGTTTTATACATTTGGAGAGCTTGTCGTGTTAGAGGTGGATGCACCTGTTGATACGCTCTCTCACTGGAATTTTTTCTATTTATATTTATATGTTTTTCTACTGATGCCAGTGAAAAATCGAATAAAATAAAAATAAAAAGGACGCACTCTCTTTTACAAAATTAAAACAGCTTTTAAAATAGCAGACGTAGATACTAAAGACATAGGCCTATGCATATGTGAACAACGTATATTAGATAAACTTATAATGATCTCCAAAGATACAACTCATCCGTTGTGACAAATTACCGGTATATATTAAGTTCAGCAAATCTGGTAGAATGGTTGTCACACTAAACAATACTAACCGCCACAAAAACTCGTTCCTCCAAAGTGCAATAAGGCTCTACAATCATAACTACCGGTACCAAAGATAAATAAGGTAATAATAATAAGAATAAGAATAATAATTATAAGAATAATAATAAGAACAAGAATAAGAATGATAAGAATAATAATAAGAATAATAATGGTAAGAATAATAAGAATAAGAATATAATAAGAATAATAAGAATAAGAATGATAATGATAATAATGATAATGATGATTATAATAACAATAACAACAATAATAATAATAATAATAACAGCAGCCTCTTATGAATCCGTCGCACGATTTCATTTTTACCTGTCTGCACCGACCGAAAGTGACTGTATTCTCACTCAAATGCTTTAAGAAATGTTTATTTCTTTGACGAATGTCTATCAAAATAACATTACAAACAAGTTCTTATATTAATAGCTATTCATCGTGTCCGTACTGTACTGCCTGAAAGTAATGTCGCTAGCTAGCTCTCTGTGAGTCAACTCGTACTGCAGGAGCACAAACCAGCATTTGCACAGCTAAATGTAAAATACGCACGCATAGTGATCATATCACTATAGCAACCAATGACTGCTACAATAGTATCAAAACCATGTCAAAACTTACATTAAAAGACGGCGATTTGACTTATAAAGCAATTAGTAGAGCATGCATCGTACACTAGCGGAAAATTATTATACAATTATTACATTATTATATTTATTATTATATTATTATTATGAAATATAGTCATATAATACGTTTGAGCCCGCGTTGTTGCGAACGATATTCATCCTGTGTAGGCGCGCCTATTGCGTCTGATATCCTGATTTAATGATGAGGACTTTAAGGGGTGTCGCAGATGGACATGCTAAACATGGCATAATGGTTGTACTTGTTGTACAACAAATGACCTGCTGAACTAAGTCAGGCAATCAGCGGTATTGTGCAGCGTGGTAATGCTATATCTGTCGTTTGTAGCATTGCTGGTATATGAACCGTGTAAGCTATAATATCACTTCTCTTTTAGAGTCGTTACCTTATTCTTCATTGAAAACCAAGCAGACAAAACAATACTCAACATTCCAATAGCAAATATGACTTTTGACTTGAATAATTGAATTCATTCGACCTTATACTTTGTACGAATATAAACTGTAGGCCTATGTAGTAGTGATCCGTGGAGTCACACTCAGATGCCTCCCCACTGGCCGTCATTACATTCATCTAATGCGCTGCGTCCGTTCCATTTCTCAGTGGATTTATTCTAACACAGCAACAAGATACAATTGTTCCTTGTGTTTGTTATAAAAGAAAGGAAATTGCGAGGAAATTCAGTATTTTAGAGACCGGAGCGGATAGTAACGTCGGATAGGCTAGCATTTCAAGAAATTCGATTCTGTTTATAAGAAGTGATGCTTCGTTTTATTCTACATTTCCAGAACAACGGACACTGAACAACCGGTGTGGCCAGCGGTGCGAATCAAATTATGGATTAGTGGGCGTGGTCGGTCAAAACCTCTCGAAAGTGTTCCAGGGTCCCCCGAAAATATGACAATTTGGGGGTTTCAAAGGCTCATTTAATCAATTTAAGGATCCCTGCCCCCTCCCGTGCTGTCGCCACCCCTGTGGCGTTCCTACCTAATCATCAAGCCCTAATTTACCTTCACCTACCCCTCCCCCACCCACTCCCCAATCCCCATTTCAAGGCTCCTGATACACATGCAGGTCGGGAGGGTGGGGTAGGCTGATTTTTCCAATTGAAGATAGTTGGGAAGATCCCCATGACCGGGGGCGGGGGTCTCTCGAGCCACTCGGAATCCTTGATTCTCAACATGAGGATCGATAAACTCAGTGTGTGTTACTCTGTATAAAAAAAATTCATATAGGATTCAAATCCAGTGGCGGATCCAGGAGAGATTTTTGACAGATGGGCGATGTACCACCTCAGCCCCAACCATGGTGGCGATGAAGAAAATGTATGATTTTGGTATTACATATCTGTCATAGCAATGGAATATGAAACAATATAGAACGTTATTGTTTTAATTACAAATTTAATTCAAACTTATTCGGCATCACATAAAAACATAATTACGATATACAAAATGCGGTAGAGACAGTTAAAACATCATTAAAAAGGGACAGATGCCAGGATAGCCAATAAAAGTCTTCAAAAACAAAAACTTATTTCCAATGTGGTCAGGTACTGTATTAGGTCGACTCCATCAAAAATGTATTGTATTTGCATTGCAAATTATTGAATATGTCCTCATTGTTGACTATTAAGGCCAGTTTCACATTTGTAGTTCCCCCTCCCCCACCCTTAATAGGGGACCCTATTCAGGGGGTATCCATATAAAGGTGACACTTTTTTTGTCCCTAATGTGTTTCCCCTATAATAGGAGTTCTACTGTAATTTTATTTAAATTGTCAACAGATGGGTGTATCTCAGGAGTTATGGCGATGGTGATTAAGAGAATGATGACGACATAGGCGATGGAATAGTTGAGTGATGGAATGACAAATGACATCAAAATAAGCCCACAATAAATGTGGCTAGAGCAAGGGCAAAGATCTTTTGAGAGGTAGAGTTGGAGTGGGGGAATTCGTGACTCTACAGTCATCTAACACCACCATGGTGAAGAAGAAACAGTTCCTCTAGATGACCGAAAATCAGCGTGACTCTACAGTCATCTAACACCACCATGATGAAGAAGAAACAGTTATATATATCGTACCATCATAGTCAAAATATAGCATCAACAAATGCCCCAAGTTTTTTTTTTTATCACAAACTTTTAATAACAGTTGTTTCACGGCTTAACATCATATTCGCTCTTACCATTTATACAGTCCATTTCAAAAATGTTCAGGCACATACTTGATAGACTGTTAAAAGGTTATGTAGTTGAGGTGCAGGACAATGCAAAAAGAAAAAAAAAACAGAACAGACTTGATGATGTGGTAGAGTAATTTGAAGGAGATCAGTGGCCCTTCACTGAAATGCGCTTTCCTGCCTATGGCCAATGTGATAGGGTAGGCCTAATAACAGATAGAGCAAGGATTTTTGGATGAAATAATTTTAATTGACCTGGTATCAAATTTTGTTGGGTTTCATTTATGACCATTTTTAGTTCCTATGCATGTAATGCAATAGGGACTATTGTATTCACTTTTTTGCGTGTATGTGTATGTATGTGTGTGTGTAGACATCTTCCAACATTTGTTTTACTGACAGTTACATGCCTAATGGTACACTTGGGATTAGTTTACTAACTAGCCATCCATCACTTTATTCCCTTTGCACTCAATCTTGTCATCCTGCCCCACATTGCCGTCAAGGTGTCATTAACATACTAGTGCAAACAGTAATAACATAACAAAGTATTGTGTTTATTGATATTGCATTTAATAAATAATAATTTTGATATAAAACCAAATATTATTATATTACTCTAATTTTACTTTTGCCTTATATATTTTTTTTACATTTGACCCAAACTGTTTACTTCATAAGTTTAAGTTTTGTTGATCACTATTAAAGAGGGGCGGGGGGGGGGGGGGGGGGGGGGGGGGGAGGAGGGAAGCAGCGCCTCCTTGAATACGTCCCTGCGAAAGTTGAAAACAATCCATAGTAATAAAAGTATCACAGTTGATGTATTAATTAGGCCTATAGGCCAACATTTTCGCTACTGCAGCATAACACAGCAAACGGCCTAAATATGTTTTCAAATTTAAATATTTCGTGTATTAAATTCAGTCATATAACTTCACTATTATTCTGTATAGGAACGTTGACGCCTGCTAAGGAGGTTTAATATAATATTGTTGTTTAGTAGGCCATGCCAGCACCCCCACCCCCGATATCGTTTCAAAATACTGTAAAATGAAAATACTGTATACCTACATAGGCCTGCATTTTTTTTTTTTTTTTATGATTCTACTAACTTAATTTGCCTATAAAATAACATAAACACCTACAAAGAAGTAGACCTAAACATTTCTTACGTGAATTATTATTAATATTCATAATATTTTCAATTAATTAAATTATCTTTTATCTTTTCAGATTGATACGGGTAAATGGTGAATTACCAATGCTGTTGGCTAAGCAGGTTTATATACACAAGTGTCGGATAAATAGAATAGAACCGATGTGTTGGTACACCTATTAAACCATCACCTGGAATTTAAAGAAAAATAATATGGAGCTCTAGAAACAGAAAGACAATGTTTTTGATCGGACTATTGCGATAGGCCTACTGCGCGTTATATAAAGGCAACGCGACTGTGTAATGGATGGCGGGCAATTATTGATCAGTGCGTCGGCAGACGTCACTCGTGCGGTATCTGAAGATAATGTCGCGGCTAGAAGCAAAAGGAATGATAAATCAGTAAAAACAAAGAAATCAAACCGAGAAAGAAAAAAAAGTTTATCGTCATCAAAAGATCCGTCTAACGAGAGACCAGCGCACGATGTTAAAACGTCAAAAACTCTCGAAAATCTCAACCAAAACACAGACGCACCGCCCGGGGGACGTAGACGTGTGCGTTCCGCTGACAGTGCAATATTCGCCAAGAAACGCAAAAGGAGGATGGTGAAGAATCAAGTCGTTGGTGTTATAGAGGACTTAGAAAATGTAATATACGAAATTAATTCCGTTACTTCTGAACTTAGGGGTGTTTTAAACCAAATTGACCGTGTGACGTCGCATCTAGAATTGTCTGTCGATGGATTAGACATTTCCGAGGATAATATATTTTTGAAATCTTCCAAGGACCATAAATCTATACAAAATTCGAAACAAAGATCAGTTTCATGCGCTTCTCTGGCGACGATGAGTCGTTACAAACAGGAAATCAACGCGTCAACACAAACGCATAGGAAATACGAACCATCATTAACGCGTCACCGAAGAGATGTGTTCTCATCCAAAGATAAAACAAACGCATCCGCTAAAGAACTTACTCTGTATCGAAAAGGTGAAGAGAGAAAACAACCAAAAAGATTGGATAAGTCATCTGTAGACCTTTCAGAAGATTCGCATAGTCTGCTATATTGCTCACAATTATCTCTAGCCAGTAGTGTAGGAAAATTCCCGTCCAACAACGGCAGTTTAGCCGCAAGTGTGTCTTCCATGACTGGGATGTTATCATCAAGTATCAATAGCCTTAATACAGGGTACAACACGTCCTTGGAAGAGATCGACTTCGGGATAAGTTGGAGAAAGAGAACATCACCTCGTCATAGCGTCACCGCCGATTCTTCATATCGAACTTTAAGCGAAACTAATTCTCTTTACTTCGAGGATATTCTACTTCAGCATAACAATAACTCATTTCAATCACTTGCCCCTGTTGATTACAACACGAATAATGTTTCTGCTTGCTGTACGTGCGATAAAGAGTTTAATATACTTGGTATAGAGAGAGGAACGGAATCACCTTCACTGTACCGTCCAATTTTCTCAACGACAAATTCAAGACGTAGTCGCTCAACCACGGCTTCCGTGTCTGACGTCGGTTCTCAGATATCCTGCTTCTCCAGTGAAGATCTTCTGAAGGATTTTAGTGCCGATTATGACAGAGATATCAATACTTGGACAACATTTGCCCTGGTGCATATTGACGCAGACGAACTAGGAGACTGAACGTAAAACATTCGCATAGCTAGAAAACTAAACTAAAAATTACAATGACTACTGATAGGCTGTTATATACTTATGAGATTGTTGAACAGCTGTACCTACCATGGGAATAACTACTAATTGCAGAATACTACCGAAGAAGATTAAACCTTTTTTTTTTTAAATTAGGACACCCCTATAATGTCACTCGCTCTTATCTGGCAATCTAGTGATCACGTGATTACTAAGGCGTCATGATAACGTTTTTCCCCATAGGCCCTAAATGAAAATTCGATCATTATTCTTCGTTTAAGGGACAGAGTTGAAGGCTCTTATATCAATAACAAGCCCAAGAGCGCGAAATTATGCAGACGATAATTGATTAATCTGACACGTAAACATACACACACCTGGTCTCATCTAGAAATTTACATCAGTGGCCAGCATACTTTACTATTTATCTTAAACAAAATAGACCTAGTATTTTTTATGTAATGCGATTTTTAGAAACGCTTGTGAAGTATCACTCGAATTTAACACGTAAATACAACTTTACAATTCAACTGATAAAAAGAGAACACCACAATCTTGGATACTGACTAAACAATTTGTAGCTATCTAAATATAAACATTATTGGTTAGTACTGACTGACAATGATCGATTTTCTACAATATAAAAACTTACCTTTTAATAAAATTTTGACGTACGTTTCGATACCATCCATATATAAGAAGATAAAAAAAAATCGAGCCATACCCTAATAACGTATGATACAAAGCGTATCCCACAAAGATGAAAAGGTTGGAGTGGGGGATTGGGAATGGATAACTTAGCTGGATAGAGACAAAGGAAGAATAGTTGATGAAAAGGAATGACGCATATAAGGCTGGTTACCATTGGCCTACAGCAGGAGGACAAGTTTGGAAATAGACAGGATGGATAAAGTGTGGTAGTAAAGATGCAATGTGCAGTAGGAAAGTGCATAAGGAAACATAATTAAGCGTTAAGAAATATTTAAAAATAAACTTATTTTTTATGTCACCTAATTTATGGTGATGTTTTCTAAATTAACCAATTGCCATGTTTATAGTGAGTTACAATGTTCCTTTAAAAGACATACTCGCAATTAGATTCGTTCATGATACTGCTGACGTCATCCCATTGCATCAAAGACATTACTTATGTAGATTGATTAACCCTAGAGCTGCAGGTGTATTTTTACGCCATTGTGGGGGGTCAGCGGAAAAAAACTCATCCATGTTGGAAATATTTTTCTTCACTCTCACACCTCCTGCTATAGCCACTTCCCCCTCCCCATACGCCTGTTCTTGATATCTATTCTATCATATTCAGAACTGTTGCAATAATCGTTTTGGGTTGGGTCGCTACGTTAAACTACGACAGCTTGTATAAATGTGTTTTCAAATAACAGTATTTATTAAATTGTCATACAATGGGAATGGATGAATTAGAAATAAAGAATTTGTTATTCATAAAGAATCGTTTTAATTGCTTTTTACTTTCTCCTTATAAGGTTATGTTTGTCGGTGACCGACAGCCCGTATGGTTTGTACAGAGAAACCAATAATACACTGCACGTATTGGGTGTAAGGGGGGAATAGAGCACCGATTCTTGGATATTGCTGCTGAGGTCCCACAAAATGTTGGGACAACACAGTGCTTGTGGGACAAGCGCTTAATCCTATCGTTGGTTTTGATTTGTTAGTTAGGTTTAATTTACAACTAGCTTGGTCCATTGCGTTTGTGTGTCGGGCATTTCCCCCAAAAAGCCATAAGCCGAACCGAAAACAGTTGGGGGTTACGAATGTAGTCAGTGTTAACAAATTAAAACTAATACAATAAAAATGCATTGGTTCATAACATAATACCACGATGCATCCGCAAGAAGACTAATTTTTATTATATTTTGGTCTTTGTTGTTTTCTTCTTTGTTTTGCTATTTTTTCTTGCGAAACTCTATTCAATTTTTAACGTGAGATAAAAAAAAGGGGGGAAAAAAAAACTCTCTACCATGAAAAGTGATAACATAAGGATGCCAGGAGAGGGGAACAAGAAAAATATTCTATAGTCATGCATTCCCACAGTCAACAACACCGTGTACATTGGGACAAAGCCGAACTAATAGCCACTGTACCATCTTGGCACTCCAGAAGGACTAGAGAAGCCATCGAAATTCACAAACACATTACTGTACATCAAGACATCGGATTTGTCATTAGCGATATTTGGCTGTCCATGTTTAATCGGACCTAGCGAAGCCCCACTATTTCCCGCCTTCTGGAACTATGCCTTTGTTTTTGGTCGTTCCCACCCACTTTCCCGCCCTGGAACCATGCCTTTGTTTGGGCGTTCCCACCCTTTTGTTTTGTTTTCGTGAACAATGGCTTTTGTTTTAGCCTCTCACCAGCAGTCTTCTCATTGGTCAGTTTATCCATCCAATCACCATCCAGCTTGTGTTTTAGCCTTTCACCCATTGGTCAGTTTACCACCATCCAGCCTCTCTACCCAAACATATAAGTATTTCCCTGTTTGGAGTGTCTGCAGATATTATTCTCCTGAAGACGATTGAAGCATCTCAATCGAAACGTCGAGACTTTCTTAACAACAACAGTTCTTTTCAGAACTACTTACGTGGTGTACCGCAAGCTTCAACATATATATTATTTCTTCGCCATGCACACCTTTAAGCAACATAAGGATGCTAACCATTTTTTTACATGCTTAAACTAACAATATAAACTACAGCCCTGGCACATGTCTAGTTATATTTTTGAAAACCAAGACATCACAAACATTGGAACATTAAAAAACAAAGCCTAGGAATTTAGAAACAAATGTATATACAGTAAATCAAGATACTGCCTGGCAGCGGATTGTTTAAATTATTTCTGTACACTGTCATGGGGATTTCTCAAATAGCAAAACTATGAACAAAAAGAGCAATTTACAGCGTTTCTCTGGAAGCCATCGCTAAAGCTAATAAATAAAATAATAAAAATAAATACCGTACATAAATATAATAATACACACTCAGACAACGCTGCGCACTATAGCTACACCCATAAATACTTAGCGCCCCGTCGGACATCTTAGCCCCCCCTCCCATAAATTATATCCTAGATAAATTATATCCTAGAGCCGCCACTGCCCCTACGCAATAGCGTAGCCAGGATTTTCAAACAGTGCGGGACAATATCAGGGTGGACACACTTTACGCATAAATTCGAACAATATGGATCCATTTTACGCAAAATTATGAAAAAACTGGACGATTTTCTTAAAGTTTTACCCGTTTTATAAGCTAAATATGAGAAATCTAAACTCATTTTTCAAAAAGTGAACCCATTTTATGCATAAAATTACATAATTTCGACCCGTTTTTGTGGACTCATTAGAAAAATTGTGTGGGACTTTCCCAATAGCTGGCTATGGCATTTTCCTTACGTGAAGGTGAACCCGGTCTCTATCTAACTGGGCCATAGGGGTTTTCGTAGGAAATTTGAATCCGATTAATGGAAATTAATTTCACGCTCTTTGTGTATGCGGCGGGTACAACACAATACAGCACTAGAGGAAAGTCATGACTTCAATACATGCGGGTCAATTAAAAAAACCGGCCAAGAATACATTCAAACACTCATTTCAATATTGTTTTTATCTCAAGAGATCTATCTACAAGGTCTCGCATACATTACGGATTAAAGAGACAGACTCATATGCTCATGCTATCAATTTTTGTGAACTCAAATTCATCATTTATGTTACAATGTTCATGTCGACAAACCCACAATCAAATTATTTGATTGGCTCAGTGATAAGCGTATTGTCTCATTTACAAGATATGCCTGCTAACGCGCGACTGACGTATTAACTGCCACTGGTAATGGCTGCCTTGAATTGTAATGACACCTGGTTATGAAAGGGGTTCAGACGAACAATTTCGCTTGCAAGTACGTAACGATAGTTCTGTCTGCTGACGCATCAAATACAATACACTTACTTGGAACAGAACGATCACATTACACATTTTCAACATTTAACCAAAAGTATTTCAATTTTTAGCATAATCAACTCGTATCTTAATGTTGTTCGACAAGTTAAGATTTATTTTAACATTATGTCTACGTTTATACGAACGACAGATTGATGTATAATGAGGTAAAGTAGTAAATGTTGTATCTAGTATATATCTTCCTTATCGTTCTTTAACATTAAAGTAGTCATTTTACCTATTTTAAAAGGTAGGCTACATTAACTGTATACCTATAACGTCATAGCATATGTTAAACACTACGGAGTTGGTCCTAATTCTGCCAAGTGAAAACATTGTACTTGTTAGAAAATTCGGGCATTTTTTTCCCCTTTTGTTAAGTCATGCGCACGAGGCAGAGCCAGAGGGCTGAGCATACGACGCCCGGCCGCCCGCCCTCATGGGTTTTATATACAGTGCAGTTCGCTTTTGGGACCAGACATTTGGGTAGGCTAGTCTCGGGGGTTCGGTCTCCACATAGTGGGGTTACCTTAGTGTAGATTGAAGATTGTTATTTGGTTCTTTGAAAAAGTCCCGAATTAGAGGAGTCTTGGAATTAGAGGGGGTCTCGAACTGGAGGACGCACATGAGTATAGGCTTAGGCCTACTCGAAAATTAGGGTGGGTTTTATCGATGTATTTTTAGTGATCCTAAATCATGTAGGGATATTAATCAAAATATATTGCATAATGAGTATCAATAGCTTGTTCCATGACAGGAGCTCACTAAAGGTGCGTCTTTGTTTAGAAACGATGATCGTACAACAGATAAACATTTTGTGTGACATTGAACGCGCACTTAAAACATGTACTGATTCCTTGACATATCAACATTCAGTAACTGTTTGCTGAGTCAAACGCAAAGCGAGCTCAACTAATCGTAGGTTATCGATCTGTTCTATTAAAAGTGCCGCGATTGTTGTTATTATCCTGACAGGCATAAGTAAACTGTTTACGTTCACTGTTAGTTTCATTAAGCGTGTGTAGCGTGCGATATTTCTTGACCACTTGCGCAAATCAACGACCGGCAAATTCAGTTGGAATCATTCGAAAGATGGTGAGAATTTTTTTTTTCGTAAGTTATATAAGTTTTATTACATCATTAGGGCTATACCATTCAAAATGTTTTCATAAAGAAAAACAGTCGACATATACATCGAGAAAGAGAGAGAGAGAGAGAGAGAGAGGTGGGGGGGGGGGAGAGAAAAAGTTCACGTTTCTGCGTCGAGCGACCTCGCGATAAAAAAAAAATAGTCGTGATATCCTATAACGCAAATACCGCCTTTGATCAAAATCTATTTTGAAATTTAAACAAAAAAATATTAGCCTATAGCGATGGTATTATGATTGATAGAAACCTCGCATAACAAGCGTGTTACTCCACGTGCGGTACGAACTACCACGTGGGCACGCCCAACTAATGTTCAACTCTGATTTACTTTTTTCATCTGTTATCACAACCATCTATTTTATCCTCATTTCATTGATTAAAACAAACTTGTAATGTAAATCTAATTATGAAATATCATATAACATTATTTCAAGTTTTATACGACCGGTTCTGATGATGACGTCTCTGTGATTATCGGCATTATTGATTGAATGTGGCATCATGGTAGTTACCGGTAACGGATGATCACTAAATATATATCTGATTTATATTTACACTAATAAGTCAATAAAAACTATTAAATAAGAATACACATGGATGATTTATTATTTTTTTTTACTGAGTTTAAAATGGATACCGGTACCCAAAATAGCAGAGATCGGTAGTGTTAAGGAACTAAATAACCATTGGTACCCGATACTGTAGGCCTAATAATCTCAGGTTGGTACACTGACAAACTTTAAATGAACAGGAGCAGGGGAATAAACATGTAAAAGGCGGTGTACACACGTACACGCCGTACATTCTAATGTTCCATGGTAATGAGCAATACAATGATATGAAGCACTTTGAAGCCAACATTATGTTGTTCATAAATCAGCGATCTAACAAGAGGCTCAGGTTTACAAAAATAAAGGCAGAATGAACTTTATCTTTGATATCTTGATAATTATTTTACTACAAATCGAGTCGAATTACATCAGCCGACCCTCCAAGGCATTTCTAACTCAAATATTAATTCGTTGAAACAATTCACAGGTTACGTAAGCTTTACTGCTTCAACTGTCTGTGAATTAACTCTGCTTCAATCGTCTGCGTTAACTAATTAATTTTTGTTTGAATGATTACGTAGGCGAAGGCATTTAAACCTGCAGACCGATCCAATGAAAGTCGTACTGGAAATTTATAATTAATCACCGGCATATAAAAGCGCCAACTGGGCGTGTCCGCTAGGTCTTATATCTAAAGAAGTGTTTATTGTGATTACTGTAACTAAATACACTACTTTGTTGCCGTGTACCCATATGTTGCTCTTGCTTTCTAATGGATTGTATCATTT